GCAGCGCTCATACAACCCCAAACTAGTACATTACCGCCCCCATGCTTTACCGTTGGGCACAAATTTTTGCAATCCATCTGCTTATTAGGTTTTCTCCACACCATAACTCGCCCATCTGAACCAAAAATATTAAACTTGCTTTCGTCACTAAATAATACAGATTTCCAAAAATCATTTCCCTTATGAATGTGTGCCTTCGCAAAATCTAAACGTTTCCTTTTATTTATTTGACTGATAAAGGGTTTTTTCCTAGCTACACAACCTTTATATCCTGCGTTTCTAATAACATTACGAATGGTCTGAGGCACAACTTTCACATTATAGTCAGTATCAATCATACCAGCCAGTTTAGGTGCACTGGTTTTTGGTTCCGTCACAATTGTCCTTAGAATGGCCCTCTTTTGGTGTGATTTCAATTTTTGGGGACGACCAGTACGTTTTCGATCTTCAAAAGAATCAGTTTCGTTGTATCGGTTTATAATATATTGTACAGTCGAGTGCGATTTATTTATTGTTTGTGCAATATTTCTGAGAGAATTACCATCTTCTCTTAGTTTAACTACTAATTTACGAATAGCAATTGGTATCTCCATTGTTCAATGTATATGAATTGAATAAAACGGACTAAGCGTATGTCTATCGTTCTTAATGGCTACAAAAACAATAATAACATGCTCGTTGATATGTAGAACTCTCAGTCCATACGGGTTTTCCCTATTCCGGTACTATTTTTATCTGTTATTCATACACATCAATAAATGTACGGAGACTTTTTTGCTGTTATTTTCCAAAGTTGTTGTACATATATACATGTATAAAATAAACTAATTAATATATATGCTCTATTTTTCTAAAAACAAATATTAATATGTTTCTGAATAAAAGTGTGTTAAAAATATGAAGTTAATCAACTTTTAAATTATCATTTTATGTTTTTGAAAAAATTTGACAACAGTGTACGGAGACTTTTTTTACCCACTGTATATTGTTTTTATCGTTATAATGTGACCCGAAGTGAATTATTGTTAATTTACGATTTAAAATGGAAACGTTTTTCTTATTTTTTTCATTTAAAGGTATATATTTTTTTTTTTTTTTTTTTAAATATTAATAAAACTTGTTTTACTATACAGACCTAATGCTATCCCAATTGAAAGTGACTAACACCAGTAAATTCAGCATTACAGAAACATAGAAAAGATAACAATTCAAATGTTTTTCTTTGAGTTAATATAAAAATAATTGTGAACCGTTAAAAATCGCAATAAAATGCATTAAACGTGCCGTGTTAACGCGTTATACTATTATAAGTTATAACTTATAGTATAATTTGTTTGCAAGACGTACAATTTAGATATATTTTCAGACATAATAGTTCAATGTACTCAACAAATGTAACAACAACAATCAACAGTGTGTTAAATAACATAAACTGTGTTTAAATTGATTTTGTTATTTTTTTTTTTTTTTTATGAAGTAATAACATATTTGACAATAAGCACACCTAAAAACGTGACTAATGCTTTTTGAAAAGTACTTTTAATATTTGAGTATTGAAAGTTTAAAATTGCACTGAAGGGTTTGACGGTGATAAAATTCGTAGGTATGTAGGTACTTCAAAGACATTGCTTAGTCATATTTTACAGACTATAAAAAAAAGATTACTATTAAAAATCGAGAAGCTAAAAACGAAAATTTGATAATTTCTTAATGTCTCCACTTCAAGTGTGGTGGATGGACTTATCAGACTGAGGGCATTGTGACATGTAGAGTTTTCTCAAAAGTCACAATCCAAGTCCGTGTTCGTCCGTGTCGGTCGGCTGTGTTGTAAGCATGGCTGGTTGTTGTGTTGAGGTGTTACAAACTAAATGCCAGATTTGGTCAAAGACGAGGTGTTTAGGTAAAACCGAGACGTGTTTTACTACTTCTTAGTTGTGACAATTCGTTGGCCGGACAACAAGAAACGGTTCTTGCACAATCGTCACAAGCTCGAGCCAATAAATCACAACGAGTGGGCCGGATTGTGTGTGTTGTTCCGACTGCTTTGGGCAGAGTTAAAAAAAATGCATAAAAAACGACTATCTAGTGTAATTATATCGTTTTTTTTTTAAATAAAACGAGGATTTGCGTACCAACCGGTGTAGGTACAAGACGTGTGTGCAGTGGCCGCACATATGTGTTTGACAACAGAAAAAAACCAGCATTGACCTCGCGGGTCGTTTGTAGTAATCTTTACCTCCCACGCTCGGACGTTGAAGAAATTGCAGTTATTTTTCTCATAATCAACAATAATTCACTTTAAGTCACATTATAACGATAAACAAAATACATATTGTGAAGTATAAAACTTGTAAAACAACAAATTACCGAAATTAAGAAACACGATTTGCTCGGTTTATTTATCACACTATTATTTAAAGAAGTTTTTTTTAAAACAGGTTTTTACACTCTATATTAATGTTTTATTTTTTTTAGACAACCAAATATTCGAAATTCGGTTACACTGCGGCTAGGATTGTAGACAAAGTCCGTTTGTCAAACGATTCACTTTCTTCGGACACTATGAACCGACTTTTATCTGTATTATTTTTCTCGGACTTTTAAAAGCCGTGCACGCCGTACGGGCGACACCGAGATAAATGCGGCCGTTAAAGGCGTTGCGATGCAACACAACGGGGCAAATGTAGTAAAAACAGTCGACCTTTCTTTTGGGCACCATTCGTCTACCAGTTACCCAAAATCTAGATAATATTTTCGACGCACTCGGTTTTTCCGGTTGTGTTCACAATGACTCGGCCGACGCGGTTTAATCTCCCAGGACCGAAAAATATACATCATAAACCCTTTCCTCCCCTCCCCCCTCAGAAGGGATGGACATTTTTTTCTTCGTATCGCTTTTTTTATGTGAAATTTTAGAGCTTCGGGTCTGAAAATTACACCCAAAGGTAGATCTAGAACGGGGGGCCATAACGTACAGGCAGTGCCGGATTTAGCCCATTGTGCCGCCGCTGTAAGCACTAAGCGAATTGCCGCCTTATATAATATAAATATTTTCCAAGTCCAAAAAATGTCATTAAAGCGTACATACAAGTATAGATGTTTCCATTGTTACTAAGCAATTTAATGATGTAAAATAAAAGCATACGGCATGAAAAAATATGATATAAGAGCTCCGCAAAAAAAAAAATCGAAATTAAGTTTGCGGTGACCTGACCCGAATCCGGAGTCTAAATGACCCCATCACGTCAGGTTTTTTTCCTAACGTCCAAAATGTGCTCAAGTCATAAAATTCAACCCCATAACCGTATAAGAGCTAAATAAATAGATAGAAAAATAAGGATTAAAATACAGTTAAGTGATATCAAATTTAGTATGGGGAGGGTGTTTCTCGTGTAGTGTCCTGTGCTCACTCGGTTTATAATAATATTTAATGTACAAAAAGAAACCATTTTTGGGGTTTTTCGCACTAAATTATTTAGTGTCTGTTAATTTTTTCTCCCCCGATTTTTTTACACCGATACCCACTCAGACCGTTGTGTATTCATACAAATTAGTAGTGTTCATTTTTGGTCTACACTAATTAGAATAAACGCCGGTTTGCGATCGCACCGTCTTACGATTTAGGTTTTTTTCATTAAAATATATTATATTTCGTGATGTATAACATATTGTAGACTTAGAAATAAAAAACTGATTAAAGATAAACACACAATCGTCGTGTCGACCCGTGCTATGTTTTTCTAATTTATTACCAATGTCTTATTTCATTATCGTCGTATCACCCGTTGTCTGTTGTCTGGTCATAATTAATACAACGTGACAATGGCAAATATTTTAATAATGATGCAGCAACGCTAATGGGACGACGATTTATTCTATGTTTTTTGAAATTGAAAATCGCCTTATAACAGTAAACATTACCGCACAATCCTGTTGGTCTAAAAAAAAAAAAATGTACAACCAGTTTCATTTCGTCTTCGATTCTAGTTACAAAAAAAAAAAAAAGTTTAATATTAAAAATGATTTGCCGCCCTAAGCACTGGCTTATAGTGTTTACTGGGAAATACGGCACTGCATACAGGGTGATTCATTAAAGATAGTACGCACACAATTTCTTATCGAATATTGTCATAGGTAATTTTTGTTGCGTTTCTCTGTTTGAAAACTAGATTACGGTATTATCAAATTACTAAAATATACGAAATAATAAGTATATTATAAAAGTAAAAGTACGAGTACAATAAAAGTACCGATTGTAAGTATAATTATTATCATACTCACACGGTTTTACGGTATTTCCCGGGGCTCTATCGACTTGTGAAACTTAAACGAGAAACTAAAAAATAACACACATTAACCGGTTAATTAATTGACACGGTCGACGTTCTATTAAAAACCTTTTTTATTCTTCTTGAATATTGCCTATACGAAACTCCTTAAAAACAGATCTCTGGAAGTGCGTAAGGAAGATGAAAAAATGCATTATCGTTTACTATTGTAAAACGACATAAACTAAATTATTGTCTGCAGTTATTTCAAAAGAAACCGAGTGTATTATTCTCGCCGTGTCTACGATTTTCTCAAAAAACCTCTAGTCAAACTTTTTATTCATTTAGGGACCCCCCCCCCTCCCCCAAAAAAAAGTCGGATAAGTTACGCGTTGAGGTTGCTAGCTGTGTTTTGTTTTGTGCAAAGCGTCAGGTGTGAAATTTTGAGAAACAAAAGAAACGCGCCACAATATTCACAAGTGGCGCGTGACTAATATAGATTTGTCTTTGCCAAAAACATGTGTAAATAGTGTTTTTTTTTTTTTTGTTGTTTGTTTTTGGCTCGTACAACGCGTCACCGAACACCGTACTCGGGTATACTTACTCAGGTAATACTTAAGCGAAAAAACAACATGGTCGTTTAACGCGCTTGGAAAGTCAAAAGTTGTCGATTGCGCGCGGTCACGCGGTTTTGATCTACTGTTTGGGGGATTATTATCCGAATAATTCCAGATGTATTTGGCAAGTTTTACAAACACGCTGCTGTTACTGTGTTTAGGGCATTTTCTCACTGCGGCAAATGCGGCTGGCGGCAAGTCAAAGAGCGGACATAAGCGGAGGTAGCGGATTCAAGCATCAAGTCAAAGTAACCCGCCCGACGACGAAGTGACCATTGTCGGGTCGAGTCGGTCCAACGTGATCAGATATTTCAATCCGGTCGATCGCGTTTGGCGGCGACAAAAGTGTGGCGAACTGCAATTGAACGCCGCCGTCGGCGACAATTTACAGCCCGGCCCGGTGGTGAAAACGCTCGGCGCCCCTTTGCGGTGGACCGACGTCGAAGCGGACGGCAGTTGTTTCTACAGGACGTTGTCCAGTTGGGTGACCGGCACGGAAGAGTATCACGTTGTGTTCCGGATATACGTGATAGAGGTGGGTAGTAGTAAAACTAGAATGCCTATTGCCGAGTGTCCGCGCAACGCGCCCGACACGTTCACTGTGGAATACGATAACGTATACGCGAGACACCCCGTCGGCCAATCGTTTTCAAAACTTACAACTCGTTTAACTTTTTAAATTAAATTAAATAAAAAAAAAAATATATATATATATAGTAATATAAGTAATATATATATATATATATATATATATATATATATATATAAGTAATATTATATATATATATATATATATATATATATATATATATAAGTATATATATATGTATATATGTATATATGTATATATTATATTACTAAAAATGTCGACCGGTCGATTACGGATTTCGGATAGTTATTTTCCGAGTTATTCGAGTTTAACGCGTTGTAACCTAACCTAATCCTTTTTTTTTTTTCCCCGCACATGCGTCCACTGTAAAACTGGGGAGGCATTTGCCTGTCGAGGCATTACTTCCCCCCGGTTTTCCGATGCCGTTTATTTTTCACAAAAATTACAACACTGTTTGAGTGGGTGCTCCACACAACCACTCAACCTAACCTAACCTAACCTAACCTAACCTAACCTAACCTAACCTAACCTAACCAACCTAACAACCTAACCTAACAACCTAACCTAACAACCTAACCTAACAACCTAACCTAATCTAACCTAACCTAAACAAGCCTAACCTAATCTAACCTAACCTAACCTACCGTCTTAACTTGTTGACTTTAATAACCTCAATAGCAGTAATTTTCCAAAATAGTCATAAAAAAATATTCGGAAAATGGTTTGAAAGTTGCTAGAAAAATGTACAAGTATTATACACACACAATTTTTGGTCACTTAAAATAACAATATATATATATTATTTTTTTTTTTTTCACAGATAGTAAGGCTTGATCAACGTATTGTGAGTTTACTAGGAGCGGATGAGCATCTAGCACACTTGGATTGGTTATCAAAAAACGGTACGTAGAAAAATGTAATGTGTGTCTTTGAAGTTTCATTAATGTACATTAAACATGCGTTTTAGTTTGGGCAACGCAAACGGAAATCGTCGCGGCCACTCTTCTTCTGAACACGCCGATTTATGTGTATTCGGAAGAAACCCAGACCTGGCTTTTATTTGATCAGTACAAAAATCCCAAAAGCCCACTGACCACCGCGGACAAGTGCATTTACATTCAGCATGTTCGGGGAAACCATTATAACCTGGTGACGGACGTGCAAGGCCGAGAAAAATCCATTGCAGATCTGTACCCGGGTAATTTTGCAGTGCAATTGAACAGTTTAATACTTAATCGACAGCAGCCAAAGTGGCCATATACAGGGTAGACCGTGGAGGCGTGGACCGACCTGTCCGTTTGTCTGTATATTTTTCAAAACCAATGCTTCCAGTACCCGTAACTGTTGTAGTTTAAGTTGTGTGTACGCGAGAATTAACAATTTTTTTTTATTGGTTTTTTTGGTTTTTTCACTAAGGATACATGTTGAACCCCGAGAGGCCAACAGTGCTCGACTGTATCATACAAAACGCCGCGTCGATGCGAAGCAGTCAACAGGCAGAAATCCAATACTATAACCCTGTCGACGGTGCTTGGCAAGAGGAAAAGTGTTGGAAATTCGACGTGACGTTCTTTCACCGTTTCCAGTACAATCAAATGGCAAAAATTCTCAGGACCCCGAAGACGTGCACTGAAATGATCGGAGACAATTCTTTCTTCAGAGCTGTCGCTTACTGGGTGACCGGCACGGACATCGATCATCAAATCTTCCGTCTATACGTAGTCGAAGTAATAGAAAGCTATAGAAACCGTATTTGTATAAAGAATTTAAACGAGCGTCTTGCATAGAGTTTACAACACGGACACTCGAGGCTTTTCTCAAATCGTTTCTACTTGTATGATATCGTACTATACCTTCTGTCTAAAACTTTCAACGTTAATTTACTCCAAGAGAGTAATTTAAATACAAACAAACCTAGTAATTTTCTCAACTCCGCGGAAAAACATTGAATCATGGATATGTTATCACTGATCTCTTATCTCTTATCTCTTATCACTGATCTCTTATCTCTAACTGCATGTAAAAGTGTGACGCGAAAACGGCGACATAAAATTGCTTGTATCCAGTCCAATAACATATCCATGTTAATAACGAAACAAATATATATACGCACAATAATATGATCTCAAAAGTGGTCGATGAGAAAAAAATCGTTTTTATTTCAGAAACGATTTACTGTGTTTTCCCCCCCCCTTCAAATTGCACGCCTTTGGAGTATTCGTAATTAATTTCAGCGTGTTTCCAGGAACTTGCTTACAATCACACTCTTCAACGCTTGTACATGGGAAAAGAGTTCGAGAATTTTAAAATGCACAACTGTGAGTAAAACAACAGTATTTCACAAGTCAATCATGCATAATAAAAATTCGATTATTGTTCTAGATTGGGCAGTTAAAATCGAAATAACCGCCGCGGCTGTTTTTTTGAACACATCAATATTTGTCTATTCGCAAACCACAAACACATGGGGTCTGTACAGCAAGAACATTGTAGACAACGCCCCGGTGGACGCGTTAACCGAAAAGTGCATTTACCTAAGTCAATCGTCTGAAGACCAGTACGCCGTAGTTAAAGATGTGGAAGACGGTTTTTAGCGCCGCCGTCAATTGTCGAGAGGTTGCAATATTGAGATCGTTTGTGTTTTATCGTTGTTAAAAATCGACAGGATCGATAGCGGCTATTAAAATTACATTTGTTTATATTCATTAAAATCCTTCACTCGCCCGCCGGCTAACGGTAACGTCGATAAAATAATATTTACCAATAAATAACGGTTAATTTACATTACCAGCGCGTTAGTTACGTTTGTTGCAGCTCGCTTTCAGTTAGTGATAAGAGACACGCGATAAGTGATAAGAGATAACATATCATACTGGAGAAAGTGACTGGGTTTTTTTTTGTCAAAAGTTATCACGTTATTAGGTGATAGTCTAGGCCGATTCGCCCAAGATCTTCTCGAGACACAAACGGTAAGATCTTTTAAACACAAGAGCGGTTGTGAGGTCCCAGGGGGCGCAGAAATGCGTTTTTTACCTGAGCCCTTTGCACTCAAGTAACTTGCTACACGGTTTTACAAATCGTCGTCGACTACTTATACATTATAGAAATAAACAGCGCACTCGGTGGAAATAAAAAAAAAAATGTTGCCAAGGCCTGTGTTCAAGACGTTATTCCAGGAACCGGCTACATATTGTAAATTCTAATATGATGCAGTTGAAACGACCAAGGTAAATATCACACAACGCCTTGTACAATATTGTAAGAAAATAATAAATATTACATATTTTGTATTCGCGTACGGGGAAACATCAAATAAAACACTGTCAATTTGTATTGTTTTTAATCTAAAAACTACCGTCTGTGACAAACGAGTACTTGATTGCATGTGTAATGTTCTGAAACTTTAATATACCCGAACTTGTTGCTACAAATACACACACTGTGGACTATGATTTTATGGAAAAAAAACCAAACAGCATTTCTTATAGAAAACCCAGTTAGGACCAATCGCAACGTTTTAATTTTGAAATTAAGAAGGCCAAAAGTTTCGGTATTGTCTTATTTCTGTTAAAGTTCAAGTTCTTTGAACTTTTGGCTCTCTTTGCTAAAATGCGTGTGCGTATGTGTGTATAATGAAAAAGTTGTAACTTTGATACAAACAATAAATATAAAGCAGCGAGGAATATAATACATTATTATGTAACCGAAAGAACAATCCATATGGCGCACAGTGATAACTAAAATTCAATAACGCGGTCATGTAAATATATATACAGTTGCCTATTTTTTTCGAGTTCATAGTTTTTAAAAGTTTTCTGTCTTACCGTTCAATAATAATTGTTGATTATGTTCGAAAAAGGAGAACGTTGTACTCATTGTGAGGTTTCAAAAAAAAAAAAAAAGCACTCACCTGATACTATTTATTTTCAAAATACAATAATTACAAGTGTAAAAAAATGTATGTTTAGTGAAAAAAACCTTATGTAGTTAGTAATAATAAAAACAGACATAAATGAAGTGGAAATGCTGGCATTTTTTAAACAGTGATAAGGTGTTATCATCGCCTAACCTAACATTTCTATAATTTATCAAATATATATATATATATTTATTATATATATAATAGAGATAAAGAGATAAATAGAGATAGTAGAGATAATTTAAGTTACCAATTTTCGCCATCTTTGTGGGGAATTAAAACCTTATCACGTGTTCATAACTGTTATCACATAAATCTCACAAAAATGGCCGACGTCGACTACCATTCTTATCACTTCTTATCATTCCCGTTGAACTATTTATATCGTTATTTGGTCCGATCATATTCGGTTTGGTTCGAAAAATGTAATGACAACAGCTATTGTCTGTACTTGTTACAGTGTATGCTGAAATCCTTTTGTAAATCATAATCATCATCATCATCATCTATGGTTTAGCCACGTGTGTAAAATAATACACGCTATATACAGCAGAACGGGTGATCAAATTTTTTGCATAATATTATTATACCGACAAAATATTTAACAGGTACCACCGGCGGTGGTGGAACGTTATTAGTTTTATTGAAGTTATTGATCTGGTCTGTGGCACGTGCCTATACTTGGCCACAAAATATCAAATTTTCACATTGCAACGGTGAAATTACACTGGCAAATCGCATTAGTCCGTCGCCCTATGTACAATATTTAGACCGGCAGATTTCCATTGGGTACTTCATGAATAATAACAATCATTAACGCATTCGTATATTTGTATTTTGCAATATTATTCATAGCCCGCCCCTGTCGTCCCCAGCTACAGTAGTTTTATATATATATATGCACAATTGCTTCTACCAACAACACTGATAACACTGATAAGAGACTAGGCGAAGATAGCCGCATGAATAATAATTTATAAGTCGGTAGTGCAGACATTCGACAATAGTGAATTACTTTTAGTGGCTCATTTTATGGTTTTCGAGGTGCTGAACACGAATCTGAAGTTTTTTAACAACGTTTTTTAACGGAAAATATGAAAATGGTGTTCATAAAAAAAAAAAAACGCTAAAAATGTTTGTTTTTGATTGTAATCGCTTGAAAGTAAGGTTTTTTATTTCACCCAAAAGGCGGAATAATCCTAAAACACCTCTGAAAAACCGCAATTTTTCGACAGTGACAAATGTACAAAAATCAAAAAGGTCAGTGTTGACAGAGCGGCGACTTTTTGTCGTTTAACCAATTTGTTTCCAAGCGGTTTTTGGATTTAAGGCCAAATCTGTTGAATATTTTTGACTTTTCAAAATTATCAAGTATACCGTTGCCGTTTGCAATTTTTTTTTTGAAATTTTTTCCCGTTTTCTTGACTTGAACTTTTTTATCAGCTGATATTGTTATCGCAAAAAACCACCTGAGGAAACTTTTTGCTTAACGCGACTGCCTTCTTTTTTTTTTTTTTTCAAAAATCAATTAACGCCGTCGAATGTAATTCGGCGAATTCGCTTTGTACTTTGTCTGCGCTTGTCGTGTGTAATACAACCGGGACGATGCGGCGGCGGCGGCGGCGGCGGTGGCGGCAGCCGAAAAATGTAATGTAATTGTGCGGCGGCCGACGAATGATTACATTTAAACACTAGGCGGTAAGGGTTAATTATTTTGTCGGTTTTTCCGCCCGCCGTCGCCGGCCAGCGACGGCCAGGACGAGGACGGGGACGGGGGTGCCGCGTGCCGAAAGCGGCACCGGCGGAGGGTTGGCCGGCGCACGCTGTCCGCGTGCGCCGGCGTCCGCGCGCGCCGTGGCCGACCACCGCGGTATCGCGGGACGCCGCTCGCAGTCGCCGTCCACCATCCACACGACGTCCGAGCTTTCGCCGACACTCGCGTCCGCGGTCCGCACAAGCACGCACGTCGTCGCCGCCGCCGCAGTGGCCACCGCAGCGGCCAACGCGTTCCAGGCCGATTCGTCCGTCCGACGTCGTCGCGCCGTCCACGGCCACGGGTAAGGTAGATAATGTATAAGTAAATGTTTTAATTTTTTTCAAAAATATATTTTTTATAAATGCCCAATTTTTAAGTATACATTTTTTTTATAAGTATATTAAATTAACACGGAAAAAATAGATAAAAAGTATATAATATCTAAAAAAAAATGACATTTATAAGATCTGGTAATTTCTTTAATTATATAGTACGATGGTTAGAGTATGGTAAATGTGTAGGATAAAAATAATTAAACTCAGTATCGTTTGAAATGTCTGATAATGATTATTATCCGCCAATTATTTATTTTATAAGAAATTAATTAACTACAACAGTCGAATAGTAGTGATGTAGGTATATAACTCTGAAATTAAACATGTCGTTTGCTCGTTAAAAGTTCAAATATCAAATAATGGCTGTTTTTTCAGCAGACACAAAGAACTGTTTTTCTACTGTACTTACCTATAGTTTTTTTTAAACAAAAACTTAACGGTTTTACCTAATTTATTACCATTTAACGGGTCGATTTAATTTGTAAAATGCTAATGTTGACAATTTTATGTTAGCCTAAGGAATTTTTAGGAAAGTTAAGCAAAAAATTTGAAATTCGGCCCTTGTGTGATTTTTAATCAATTAATTAAGCGTTACATAATTATTTTCCGGACAAGGTGGATTCATATATATATATATATATATTTTCTTAGGTATTTTTTTTAATGTTTTTTTTTACTTTTTTACTCACTAACGCTATGACGCAACAAGTTTTCCAACAGTTGTTTTTTGAATTGTATTTTTTTTTCATCATCATCATTTATTATTGCTATTATTCCGTCGTCGTCGCCATTGTTGTAATATATATATATATGTATTTTCCGAAGCATTCACAAATTGGCCGCCGCCGCCGCACTTATTTGTGTGAAAACTTACAACTTCTGTATACTTGTTGTTGGCTGATTGTGAAAAACCGACCCAAAATCGAATATCATTTCAAATGAATATAAAATAAAATAAGGCGGAAAACAGGCGATAAAAAACACACAAATATATATATATATAAACTCTGTTTTTTTTGTTGCCGTCCAAACGTCGCACTCAAAGTAATTATATTGGTTTTTTTTTCACATTCAAAAATCAGTTGACCGCAGCCGAACCGCTAAGTACGGCAACAAAATGGGCTTTAAACTTGTTCAGAAAAAGATCCAAAAAAAAAAACCCGATAAAGCGTTGGACAACGTTTTGCTCGTCTTCCGGAAATTATTTGTGTATTAAATGTGCGCGGATATAAATGTAAGTATTTTTTTTTTTGAAAAAAAAATCTGAAATCTAATGAATAAAAGATTATGTCTATGGGGCAGGGGAAAAAATGATGATTTTTCCGGCTCGGCCGACCGTGTCCGTGTACTTTATCGACGATGCACTCTGTTATTGAAAAATCGAAAAAAAAAAAATAAAATTACACTCAAGTCATGTTTAATGTAAGTGTAGTACACCGACCAACAATTTGCCAACGGTTAGATCTGTATTATGGTCGAGCGAGTTTTCTCGAAAACAAAAACAACAGACGGGACAGCAATACTGTTTACTATTGTTTTTTTTTTTTAGTTATAAAACAAATTCTATAAGAATTCCCCCACCCGTCGACTGTTTTTTGCATTTGAATTGTACAAAAAAAAAAAACATATCCCAAAAGTATACATGATGAATACACAACAACCGGTACTATATCTCTGCTTGTTTTGTTATTTTTGTTCGGTCAAACGGTTTACGGATGATAAATCGAGTATAATATATGAATTGTTGCCAATATATATATATATGTATATACCTTAT